GCATTATGTCCTTTGATTTCCTGACTTGGCTCATGAGTGTTAATTGTGGATCCAAGTAGAATGAAGTCTTTGACAACTTCAATCTTTTCTCCATTTATCATGATGTTATTTATTAGTCCAGTTGTTAGGATTTTTGGTTTCTTTACATTGAGGTGCAATCCATACTGAAGGCTGTAATTTTTTATCTTTATCAGTAAGTATTTCAAGTCTTCTTTGCTACCAGAAAGCAAGGTTGTATCATCTGCATATTGCAGGGTATTAATGAGTCGTCCTCAGACATCAGATACCATGTTCGTCTTCATATAACCCATCTTATTTGATTATTTGTTCAAAGCATACAGATTGAGTAAAAGATACAACCCTGGCACACACCTGATTTTAAACCATTCAGTATTATCTTCAAACAACTGCCTCGTGGTCTATGTACAGGTTTCTTATGAGCACAATTAAGTGTTCTGGAATGCCCATTCTTTACAATGTTATCCATGATTTGTCATGATACATGCAGTCCAAAGTCTTTGCACAATCAATAAAGCACAAGTAAACACCATCCTGGTATTCAGCCAAGATCCATTTATAGTTTATAGCTTTATAGATTGATGTCAGCAATGATATCCCCTATTCGATGTCTTCTGAATCCAGCTGGAATTAATGGCAGTTCCCTGTTGATGTATTATCGCAATCATTTTTTAATTATTATCTTTAACAAAATTTTACTTGCATGCGATACTAATGATATTGCTGGATGATTTCCGCATTCCATTGAGTCACTTCTTTGGAAGGGACCTCTTCCAATCAGTTGGACGACAGGTAGCTGTCTTCCAAATGCTTGGCAAATACAAGTGAGCACCTCCAGTGCTGCATCAGTTTGTTGGAAGATTTCAATTTCTATTCTCTCTGTTCCCGGAGTCTTTTTTTTCACCAATACCTTCAGTGCAGCATGAACTTTTTGGTTCTTGATCATAGGCTACATCTTGAAGTGGTTGAACATCGACCATTTCTTTTAGTACAATTGATTGTGTATTTTTTCCATCTTCTTTTGAAGTTTTCTGCATCGTTCAATTATCCTGCCCATTGTTGTTGTTGTTAAGTGCTGTCGAGTCAGTTCCAACTGATAGAGACCCTGTATAGGATTTCCAAGGTGCAACTGGTGTTTGAACCACCAACCTTGCAGTTCAAACAGACCTTGAGGTCAAGTGCTCATCCTATGGTGCCACACTATGATGATTTTTTCAATACTTGAAGTTGAGGCTTGAATTTTCTTCAGTTCTTTCAGCTCAATAACTGCTGAGCATGTTCTCTTTTGGTTTTCTGACTCCTACTCTTTGCACATTTCCTTGAGCGTAGATTGTCTATGCTCAAAAGCAAGTTTCAGAGTTTCTTTTGACATCCATTTTGTCTTTTATTTCTTCCCTGTCTTTTTAATGACCTTTTGCTTTCTTCCTGTATGATGTTCTTGATGTTATCCCACAACTTTCCTGGTCTTTGGCCATTAGTGTCTAATGCATCAAATCTGTTCTTGACATTGTCTCTAGAAGTTCAGAGTCTTTGGTTGGTGCTGCAGGATAAGCACTGGATTGCTATCCCAATGGCTGGCAATTCAAGCTCAGTAGCCGCTCCTTGGAAATGCTACACAGGGTTACTATGAGTGAACTGACACAGCAGCACTTAACAACATATTAAAGGTTACATTTTGGCTCTTGTGGACTTGTTTTTATTTTCTTCAGCTTCAGCCTAAAGTTGCATATGAGCAGCAGATGGCGTGTTCCAGTCTGTTCCTGGCCTTGTTTTGGCTGATGGTATGGAGCTTTCCCACCTCCTCTGTCCACAGATGTAGTCAGTTTGATTCCTGTGTATTCTATCTAGTAAAGTCTATGTGTATAGTTGCTCTTTATGTTGTTTAAAAGAGGTATCTGTAACGAATAAGTAGCTGGTCTTGCAAAATGCTAACATGCCATTTCCAGCATCATTTATTTCTATCACCAACTACTGATTCTTCCTCTTTCTATCTAATTTTCATATTCCAATTGCCAAGGTAATTTTCAATGCACCTTGATTGCATGTTCAATCAATTTCAGACTGAAGAAGTTGGTGGTTGTTGTTGTTGTTGTTAAGTGTTGAGTCTATTCCAACCCAAAGTGACCCTGTATAGGGTTTCCAAAGAGCAGCTGGTAAGCTTGAACCGCCGACCTTGCAGTTCAAACGGCTTTGCAGTCTGGAGCATTAACCCATAAACCCATAGCGCCACACTAGGATCTGAAGAAGTTGGTAGAATTCTTCAATTTTATCATCACTGGCTTTAGTAGCTGGTGCATAAATTTGAATTAATAGTGATACAACTGTTCTTTATAAGCACATGGATATGATGCTATCACAAATGGTATGATAATTCAAGATAGATATTGAAGCATTATTTTGGATGATGAATGTGTTGCTGTTCAATCCCAACATAGAAAACCATGAGAGTCACATCCAAAATGGCCAACACCAGTCCATTTTAGCTCATTAATACCTAGGAAATCAATATATATTTCATTTCATTTTTGAGAATTTCCCAATTTTCATACATTCATATGCTGTACATTTCATATTCTCATTATTAATGATGTTTGCAGCTGTTTCTTCTTTGAGCTGTGTCCCATCAGCATATGAAGATTTCAAAAGCTTTGCTCCAATCCATCATCATGGTCAGTTCTACTTTTCCCCAGTTGTACTCTGAATGCCTTCCAATATGAGGGGCTTATCTTCCAGCACTATATCTGACAATGTTCCACTGCTAGTCATAAAGTTTTCATCTTCTGGCACCATATCTGACAATGTTCTGCTGCTAGTAATAAGATTTTCAATGGGTAATCATTCAAAAGTAAGAAGAGAAGAGATGTACCACATCTTTCCTTGGACCCAGCCAATTCTACGCTTAAGTATTTACCCAAGAAACAAATACATATGTCTACAAAAGGATTCCTGTTAGGATATTTGTTACAACTACCAAAAGCAAGAAGTAGTCCACATGTCCATTAGCAGGCTAACAGATAAACTAGTATAATTCCTACATGAAATACTATACTACTAAGTAACAAAAAGGAATAAACTACTGATGCATAAAGTCCGAAAATATGCGAGTGAAAGAAGCCAACTACTAAACAATGCAAATCATGATTCCATTTATATGAAGTTCTAGAGGAGGTAAAACTTATGTGGTACTATTGTTAAGTATATGGTTTCCAGGGAGCAGCTAGTGGGTTTGAACTGCTGACTTATAAGTCAGTAGTCTAGTGGATGTGAAGTAACAGAAATCAGAACAGTAGGTTGTCATAAAAACAGACCTAGGAAGAATTAACTGGGAAAGGGATAAGGGAACTTTCTTAGGGGATGGAAATATCCCCTGTCTTGATCTAAGCATATATATTTGTTAAAATGTATAAAACTCTACTCTTAAGATCTGGGATTTCATGATTGTAAATTAAGCCTTGGGCAGTCAGAGGTTAGCAATGACATACTGATTTTAAAAAAGGGAAAGATTGGGCTAGGAATAAAGTGAGATGGGAAAAAATGGGCAAGAAATTTTCAATCTAATTAAAGCACCATTCCAAAGTAATGTACTGAAAAATGCTGATCTGAAACACCAAAGAAAAGCATAGGACTGGGATGTGAAGGTTAAACATTGACAGTAAGTTATCTTTCCAGGCCCAAAACAAAATATCAAACAAAACACAAAAAACATTGCTTAGAAAATCAGAGATCTATCAAATGTTACTTTCAAAATCAGTCTTTTGACACACAATTTATACAATTATTTATTCTCATTTATGAATCTGAAAATAAAATATTCTTAGATGGAATAAAGAAATAATTACATACAGAACTTTGTGAATATTCAATCATAATCCTCAGGTTTACATCAATGTGTAATAACAATGTTGCTGTTGTTGTTAAGTGCTATAGTTCTGACTAATAGCGACCCTGCATAAGGTTTCCAAGGAGTAGTGGTGGGTTTGAACCACCAACCTTGTGGTTTGCAATCCAGTGCTCATCCTATAGCACCACACCAAGAATCCTAATAATTAACGTTGTTGCTAAGTGACATCAAGTCAGTTCCAAGGAGCAACTGGTGGGGTTGAAAAGTCAAACTTGCAGTTCAAATTAACATTGTAGTCCAGTGCATTATCCTGCAGCGCCACAATTACTGAGAAATTTCTATGCTCCACATATTTACTAGAAGGCAATTCTCTGTGGATTTTTCAAGTTTCTATACTTGTTGCAAGCAGGAAAACTCACTGCCTTTATTCAGAACTTACCTTTTTCAAAGAAGTCTGTATAACAACAGCTTAGGAAGATAGTGATAGTATCTACCTCTAAAAGCAAAAAGCAAACATGCTTAGTGCCTATTATAAAGGGTCTGGGTTCCCTACACTCAAGGTTTCACTCCTGGAACACAGAACACTATAAAAATTGGAACTCAGGGAACCAGGGGAAGAAAATGCTGATACTCTGACTACTGCTATTGCTATGAGAAATAAAGTCCTTTGTGTCTGACCTCAGCATTTCATGTCTTCTACAAGTATCTTTGAAAGTGAAGTAAGCTAACTAGTTAGCTTGCAAGTAAGGTAAAATCTAAGACTCTTCACAATTCTTAGCAATACTGTGTTAATGGCTTTATGTACCATATCTCTAACCCCCCATAGCAACACTGCTAAATAGGCATTACTACCCTCATTTTATAGATGAGGATACTGAATTTCTGACAGTCCTGGTGTGATGTTGTAGGATAAGCACTGGACTGTGAAATACAATGTCGGCAGTTCAAAGCCATCAGTGACTCCCTGAAAACCCTAGACAGGGTTGCTATGCATTGGAACCAACCCAATGGCACTTAATAACAATACTGAACTTCTGAGAGATTAAATAAATTAGCCTAGTCACACCACTGAGAAGTAACAGAAGTCAGCATCTTAAGTCCAGGATCTTTCTATTACAATACAAAGTCCCTAATTAATTACCTTAAATCCTGTATGGTTTCCAACTTCCTATTTACAATATCAGCTATTTTTCCCATTAGTGGACTAAATTGCAAATGTTGATCTGCTAGGCAAGAGGAAAATTTTGACAGCACAGTTATATCAAACCTATTAGAGAAATACACAAAAGATATCATTAGTATTTACTGCTACATAAAACACATAATCCACATTTATAAAATAAGAAGCAATAAAAAAAAGCTACTTACATACTGGTACAAAATTAAGTTTTTTCCAAAATGCTAGTACTATAATAAAACGTTAACACAATCTAACAGTTAAAAAGTCAGGTACTATAGAAAGATTTAAAAGGAAAATGTATACTCAAAATTATTTCAATCAATATCTATTCGTTTTTATGATAAGAAAACAATTTTAACTCAAGGACACATATTAACAATTAAAATAAACAATATTAAAACCTTGCAATTAAAAACTTCAGAATTTTTCTACAACAACAACAAAAAATCATCCAAATTCTTTAAAAGGTAAGCTGCAAGACAAAAGAAATGAAAGGGAAGTATTATAGATTTTTTTAACATTTTAACTCATTAAAACACAAGCATAAAAAAGTCCACAATAGCATTATTCATAATAACCAAACACCGTCAACAATCCAAATATTCACCAAAAGCACATAAGATAAATTATACATATTCAAACACTGGAATACACAGGGGCTTCCAAAAGTTCACAGAAAAATGAAATTCAAAGATACTGGAATTTTCCAAACTTTTTGAAAACCTCACATTACACAACATTAAAAAAAACTAAAACCCACTAAATCACACATCATGTATGTATTAAAACACACTGAGTGAATTAAACTAGACACAGAGCACATGTTGTCTAATTGTATTTCTATTAAAAAGAGTACTTGCCTTTCCAATCTCCTCCATGCTTCTATAACTAGGGCTTCAACTAGAGGGTCATGGGCCTCAACAGCAAACCTCAAAAAAAGCAAGAGAAAACAGTCCCTCCATGAACAAATATTTGTAAATCATTAAAAACATATGTAGAGTTATAATGCAAAAGTAAACCTCAAATTATTTTGCCCTTACAGACTCAGTCCTTACTTCCAGGCTATTCCTATTTCAATATTCTGATTTCTTGGGATAGTCTAATAACTCTCATTCTTTTATCTGCTCATTTCAATGATCTCTACTGATGATGATAATAAAAATGCTCAATGATATATTTTGTGTTTAAAATACATGTAACATTTATTACTTCTTCTGATTATAAAAATTTTTATAGAAGAAATTTTTACAGGAACACTTTAATAGGGAAATAAAAATCATTTGTAATCCTGCTACCCCTGGTGCGGCACTGTGGATTAATGCACTGAAATGCAAGATTTGTTTTAACTTCAAGGGAGGTAGTTCAAGCTCACCAACCACTCCTCAGAAACTCTATACAGGGTTGGTATGAGTCAGAAGTGACTTGACAGCAATTAACAACTCATAAATAGCCGCCACAACCTTTTTGAAGCACTTCTTCCCAGTTCTTTTTTCGTTATAGAAATGAATTAAGTATATTTCTTTTACATTTTTGTATCCTGCCTGTTTGGTAGGTTAACATTACCGTGTGGGTACTTGTCCCCATCACAAATATTCTTCAAAATATAATCTTTAATGATTTTATGTTGTTGTTGCTAAGTGTTGCTGAGTCGATTCCAACTCACAGCAACCCTGTATAGAGTTTCTAAGGCTTTACATCTTCACGGGAGCAAAAAGTCTCACCTTTCTCCCACAGAGGGGCTGGCAGGTTCTACCTTTGATCTTGTAGTTCTAAGTCCAATGTTTATAGTGTGGAGCCATTATATGAGTGAAATATCATTTAGTTAAACATTTACATGCCATTAGAATTTTAGATTTTCAATATCAACAATACTACGATGAAAAGCCATATACAGAAATTTTAAATGTATCCTGGATAACTTTCTTAAAATAAATCTTAGAAGCAAAATTACTAGGTCAATGCTATTTTTATAGGTCTTGATAAATATTGTGCTACCAGCATATAAGAATTTCAGTTCCATTGTACTCTAATCAATAATGAATATTTCAAATATGTTGTTGTTGTTAAGTGCTGTCGAGTCGGTTCCGACCCACAGCGACCCTGTACAGGGTTTTCGAGGCTGTAAATCTTATACTCATATAAAATTAACTTTTTGTCAATACTTAAATTTATCTGGGTTTTCCTTTGACAACAAGGAAGGACCCCTACGTTTTTTAAAATTTTCATATGCAAAACAATCCATGGAATATATGAAACACTATTATCAAATAAAAATAAATCAACAAAATAGTTCTTCCTTTTCTTTGTTTCTGAGAACTATTGGAATCAATCTAGTAAATTAGTAGTCCCCTATAAAGTACATCAGTCATCAATTTAATTATGGAAAACAGAAGGTCAACATAGACACAATTTACTATTCTGCTGATTGTTATAAGACTAAACTGAAACCTAATTGTTTACTAATTTTATCCTCATTTTCTTTAGCCAACTACATTTCTGTACAATTTTATAATCCAATTACATATAGTTGATGTTAATACTTTCTATTTTCACGAGTAATTATATTTGTTTATTAAATTATAATGCTACAAATTGGTTGTTGTTGTTAAGTGCCATCAAGTTGGTTCCAACTCACAGCAACCCTATATAGGATTTTCAAGGAACAGCTGGTGGGTTTGAACTGCTGACCTTGTGATTAATGGTCCAGTGCTTACCCTACAGTGTCACACCAGGCCTCAAAGAACATCCTCCAAACTTCTTTAAAATTATCAGGATTATCAATAAAATTTTATTGCTGGGAAGGGGAATCCATTTTTTATTTAACAGATTTTACTTTGAAATTTTTATGTGAATTCAGTGAAAGTTTACAGAGGGGATCATCAGTTTTACAATCAACAAATCATACATTTTGTTTCATCTCAATGACTACAATGTCCAGAATGTAACATCACTCATTCTACTTCCTCCCTTTGTTTCTTGTTTCCATTCCTCCTTTTCCCACCCTTTTGAATTTTATCCTAGGTAAATGCTGCCCTTTTGATATTTAATAGTTTACTATTCCATGGTAAACATCCATTACTGTAGAAAGATAACTTTCTACAGCTTGGTTGGAAATTGAGTCATGGGGGTGAGTTCAGTTCCAACTTGAAAGGTGACCAAGGACCACAGCCTTAGGGTTCCACCAATCTCTATCTGACCAGGAAATCTTGTCTTACAGAGATTTTTTTGAAAATTAAAATAGAAAAATAAACTATAAACATTTTCATAAAATCTAAAAGTAAGAATTACTTACTGTAGCATTATATACAACACTTCCACCAGGGTACTGTCATTCATTATTTCTAGTTTATCTGTAGTTAAATTACGAAGAGTAAGGAATTGGGGATGGTCTTTGACATAGTCAACATTTTTTAACAAGTTGATATTCTGCTTTTGAAATTTCCAAAGTATATTAAATGCATATCCCACTTGCTTTTCTGAAAGTGTTTCTTTGTTTCTTTCAATAAGATCAAATATTTGTTCTTCATTCGTACACTTATCCATCTGGCTAATTAACAGTTCACAACTTGAGGGTCGAAATTGAAATAGTCTCCAGAAGAATGGATATATAGCTTTTAAACGAAGCATATTTGTGATGAATAAGTTATCTTTTCATTTACATCACCAGTTTTCATAAACAAATAATACTGTTTGTAACTAGTTGTCAGGTGTAGCATACTGGTATAAAAATACGTGGTTTTCCTTCAAGTATTTTGCCTCCATTACGTTGACTCCAAATTCTTTTCCAGCATGCAGGTTCTGTAAAACGATTGATTTAACATGGTTACACTAATATAATTCACAATAAATTAATTCCAAAATTCCAATTAGAGTAACAAGTTTCTTCACATTCCCCAGAGACTTTTAGTCTGAACCAGATAGGTAGATTTGATATAAAATCATATGCCCCTGTCTTATATTTGACATAAAATCAAATGAAAATCATATTATCCAATACTTCTGCAAAATGCTACAATTTACAAAGGATCTTTTAAATACTTTAAATCATTAAATACTCTCAACTAACCTGACTGGTGTACTATCATTTCCATTTTACATATACAGAAACCCAGATTTAAAGAGGTTAAGAAACTGCTCTAGTACTAGTGAAACTGGAACTCCAAATTCTTTGCATTTTTCTAACTGAACAGCTCCACTGGTGTGGCTATAGCGCTGTGGGCTAATGTGTCAGACTGCAAAGTCATTCGAATTGCAAGTTTGGTGGTTCAAGCTCACCAGCTGCTCCCTGAAAACCCTACTATGCAGGGTTGCTATGGGTTGGAATTGACTCCATGGCACTTAACAACAACAACAACTATATCAACAAACCAACAGCAGTTATTCTATTAAAGAAATGCTGCTCAGATTTGGATCTGCCAAGCTGTCTGTTCACAAAGGAAAAACCATATTGACTATTTTGTGGCCATTATTACAGCATCCTGATTCAAGCTGACTTTGGTCACACACCAACACAAAAAGCCCTGTAACAAAGGGAGAAAGAGCCTCAAGAAATCATTCATCCACAATAGAAAGTGGAGTAAGTTCAATATTTAGAATAAAAAGGAGTTGCCAGCTCTGCCCCTAGTTGATTGACCTTGGATAGGTCACTTAACTAATGGAGGGTCTTTGGGACTATAAATGAGAGGCAGATTATCACTTGTTAACAAGTATAAACCAAAAACCCATTGCCATGGAGTTGATTCTGACTCATTAGCAGCCCTGTAGAACAGCTGTCCCATTGAGTTTCCAGTGCTGTGCTTTGGGTGTGGAGCTGTAGGATAAGCACTGGATTGCTAATTCCAAGGCTGGCGGTTCAAACCCACCAGCCGCTCCTTGGAAACCCTACACATGGTTGCTATGAGTCGGAAACGACTTGATCGCACTTAACAATCTTTACAAAGGCAGGTTACCACATCTGTCTTCTGCAGGGCGACTGGTGGGTTGAAACCGCCGACCTTTAGGTTAGCAGACATGCACTTAACCACGGTACCACCAGCACCAGGGTTCATAAACAAGGTTGTTGTTGTTGTTGTTAAGTGCCGTCGAGTCGGTTTCGACCCATAGCGACCCTGAATAGGGTTTCCGAGGCTGTAAATCTTTACGGGAGCAGATCGCCTCATCTTTCTCCCGCGGAGCAGCTGGTAGTTTCGAACTGCTGACCTTCCGGTTCGCAGCCCCATTCGTAACCACTACGCTACCAGAGGTTAGCGCACGGTAAACAAGGTTTGTTGTTGTGAAGTGCTTTCAAGTCAGTTCTGATCCATAGCGACTAGTGCACGGTAAAAGTGACGCGCTGTGCAAATTACAAGCATGCTCGCCAGGTACTCAGTGGCGCTCAATGAATGACTGAATAACCACGAGTCTCCTGGGTTTCCCACACCGCGAGGGAGCAGTCCAGCCCTCTTCCGCGGGGCGGATTTCCGCCAAGAACCCACCTCCAGGAAGGAGGCCTGGGTTTCTCAGCGGACCCGTGTCCAGACCGAAAAAAATTGCAATGTACTAAAAGAAAAACAGTTGCCGCTACCCCAGGTCTGACTTGCCAGGAAGAAGTACATCCTCTCCACGCCGGCAACTTCTCAAGAGGATCCCAGGGAAGGCTGGTTACGATAGTTCAATAGTCAAGTCTACACCCGGTCTACACGCGACAGGCTCCGATTCTCGTTCACCCTTCTTTTGCCAGGGCTTTCAGCCTCTCCTAAAGAGACATAACCTTTCCTCTGATGAAGTCTGTCCGCAAACCAGTAAAAAATGCCGAGCAAGGGCAGCACGCACGGAGGAAGGCGCGCACTACATATCCCAAAGGGCGTCGCGACGAGATCGGTGAAAAGACTCGCATACGTTTTAGGGGACTTATGGGAGTTGTAGTTCCTCATTGAAAAGATCTGTAGTTCAATACTTAGGCTGAACGGTAAAATTACTCCATCCATGCTTGGAGCCCACCAGGCACTCCGCGGGGAAAAAGACTGGGCTTTCTGCTCTCCCAAAGATTTACAGCCTCGGAATCGACTGGATGGCATCAACAACAAACTGGCTTTAGGCCAGTTTGTGATGGTCTAGTAATTGTATAATGTTGTTGTTGTTGTGCAGTGCCGTCAAGTCGGATCCGACCAATAGCGACCCTGTATAGTGTTTTGATATCTCTTTGATATCTCAAGCAGTAAAGTTTTGCTAAAGGTAATACAGAAATGGCTACAGTCATACATTGACAGAGAACTTCCAGAGGTTCAAGCTGGATTCAGAAGAGGCC